GAGCCAAGATCATGGCCACTGCACTTCAGCTGGGGGCAACAGTGCAAGACTTCGTCAAAAAAAAAAAAAAAAAAAATCCAGAAATGTAAAACCTAAGAAAAAAGATTAGAGAAGAAAGGCCAAGATACTCACAAATCAACTTACAGAGATACAGCCAGAAGAGAAAGGCACATAAAAAGGAAAAAATAAATTGAGACAGAAAAATACATAAAATGATTCTTAGCAGAAAGTCACCTTGTGGGCCAACATCTCTGTCCTCTGAATGGCCCTTCAGGCCCTGTTCTATTTGGCGTCTTATTCACAAGTTTTGCATCTGTGTGTATGAGGAAGATTAGCATATTGCTTTATTTTTCTGAGCTGCCTTCTCTAGTTTTAAGTTTCCGGGTTATATTATCTCTGTAAAATGAGTTGAGAAGTTTCTGATCTTTTTTGTGTCCTGAAACAATCATACAAATGAAGTTTCGGTGAAATCCCCTGTAAAATTGGACTACTATCTCTGGAGGGAAGATACCTGAGTACCTTTGGACTGTCTTCTATGATCGTCACACTATTTCTTCTTGAACCATATTTAGGAATTTATAGGTTTCTTTAAAATTGTCAATTTTTTCCAGGTCTTTGGATTTATTGATATTTATTACATATAGTTTTGTCTGTACACTTAAAAAGATTGTTATATATCTCTATTTGATTTTCCCTGTTACATTGAAGTTTTGTCTCTTGAAAGATCTACTTCATTGATCAACTGCATTGTTTTTCTTCATTAGTTCCTACTTTCAGGTTAATCTTTCCATTCTACTTAAAAACATTTTTTAACAATTTTTTTTTTGTTGAAATTTTAATTAATTTATTCTCAATCTTTTTTCTTTTCTTTTCTTTTCCTCTCTGTCACCCAGGCTGAAGTGCAATGATAGGATCTCGGCTTACTGCAACCTCTGCCTCTTGGGTTCAAGCAATTCTCCTGCCTCAGCCTCCTGAGTGGCTGGGATTACAGGTATGTGCCACTATGCCAGCTAATTTTTGTATTTTTAGTAGAGACAGGGTTTTGCCATATTGGCCAGGCTGGTCTTGAACTCCTGATCTTAGGTGATCCACACAACTTGGCCTCCCAAAGTGCTGGGATTACAGGCATGAGCCACTGCACCCAGGCCTTATTTATTTTCTAATAAATGCACGTAAACCACACTTTTTCCTTTGAGTACCGTTTTGGCTTAAAAACACAGATTTAGTGATATGGTGCCCCTGAACTATTTATATTCAGATGTAATTTGTGCATTATATTTTTAAATTTTCTCTTAAAGAGGTATTAAAATGTTTTTGTCAATTTCCAGTTTCATTGCATTTCAATGAGGGAATATGGCCTAAATAGTAGCAGCTTTCTGGAATTTATTAAGATTTTCTTTCTGGCCTTGTGCATGGTCAATGTTTTCAGAATATTCCATTTGCGGTTAAAGGAATATGTAATCTCTGTTAGTTGACCAGAAAGGCGGAGGTGTGTCTGTGTGTGAGAGAGAGACAGAGAGAGAGATAGAGAGATAGAGAGAGAGAGATATTATTAAGCTTATTACTTTTCAAAAATCCTCTTTTTATTTATTTCTGTTCTTTGAGAATTCTGTGAAAACCACCTACCAAGGTATTGAGGATCTAGGTTTTCCTACTTGTAATGCTGTCAGGTTTCTGCCCTGTGTATTTTGAAGCTAAGATTTAAGTGCAACAAAAAAAGGATTAGCATTTGTTACCTATTGTTCATTTTTTAAATATGACATATCCCTCTCTTTGTCTTATTAAATGATTTGACCTTGAATTCCATTTCATCTGAATATTACCGTCTTTCTTTGTTTTTGTTAGCGTTTCCATTTTCCCCATTAATTTCTTTCTGGATTATTTCTTTTAGATGTGTCTCACTTAAAGAGCATACAGTTGGAGTTTGCGTTTTTATCCAACCAGAGTTTGTTCTTTTAATTAATGAGTTTAACCCATTCACATCTATTGTGATGCATGATAGTATAACTGTTTATACCATTTTTTGTTTTCTATTTGCAATGCTTTTTAGTCATCTCTTTCCTCTTTTTCTTACATTTTGTTATACAAATTTTTTTATTTTAACCTTTGAAAATATGTAATTAAAGTTATATTTAAAACACGATCTGTAGTTATGTTGCCCCCACAAGTCAAACACCACACTTTTACTTCCCTCTGCTGCGTTTTATCAATTCCCTAAATTTTTTGTTCCGTGATTATTTTAAGGTATATACACAGTAGCATGCCCAGGTCTTAAGTCTGAAGCTCAACACGTTTCCAAGGTGCACACATTCATGATGCAAGAGCACTGCCAGTGCTCCCGAAGCCTGCCCTAGTCTCCTTCAGTCCCTTCCCTGCCCAAAGTAAACCAAGATTCTCATTTCCATCACTATCAATCCATGTGTCCTGCTTGTCAGCTTTATCTACATGAACTTGTTATATCCATTCCCTTCTGTCTGGCTCCTTTTGCTCAGCCCTATGCTTCTGAGACTCATCCACACCAAGGCCTACAAGAGTAGCATTTTTCTTGTGTTGTATAATTTCACATTCTATGACTATTTCACAGGTTATCTCCTCTACTGTTGATAGACATCTGGGTTGATACCAGTTTAGGGATATGTGAATAATGCTGCTATGAATATTCTAGTACCTATCATTTGGGTACAGATATCTATGAATTCCCTTTGGATACATAGCCAGAACATTTATGGATACTGTCAGTTTTCCAAATAGTGTACCCACAGTGTTATTTTTAATTTCTTAAACAATCAACACTTTTTTA